TCCTGTGGGAACAAGAAATACATCCACAGTCTCAGCTCACTCCTGAGTTGCTTGTTGGTGATCCTGAGGTCAGGTCAATGCAGGCGTTTACAACTAAAGTAGAACCTTCCAAGTCTGACTTTCTTAGCCGTCTAAATCGATTCTCCTCCTGGTCAAAACTCCTGAAAGTCATTGCAAGAATCAAGAGGCTGAATTCAAAGCAAACCCGTCCTGGCAAACCTGTAAGTGTGGAAGAGCGCGAGAGAGCTGCCGAATCAGTAATGAGGCTTGTACAAGAAGAAGCATTCTCCCAAGAGATGAAGATACTTCAAAAGGGAAAGAGTCTTCAAAATTCCAGCCCTCTGTTTCGCTTGGATCCCGTCTTAGAAGGCGGAGCACTTCGTGTCGGTGGGAGACTAGGTCAGTCATCCTTAAGCCTTGAAGTCAAACACCCTTTGATTCTACCCAAAGGAGGACATATTACCAAGCTGATCTTGACTTACTGCCACGAGAGGATCTGTCACCAAGGACGGAATCAAACTCTAACAGAACTTCGAGCCAATGGGTTTTGGGTCATCGGTGGAAGTAAGTCAGTTGCTAAGCTGATACACAGATGTGTGAAATGCAGAAGACTCAGACGGCCTGTAGAAGAACAACGCATGGCAGAGCTTCCTAAGGAGCGGGTAGATGTCTCTGCTCCCTTCACATACTGTGGCATCGATTGCTTCGGCCCATTCATCACTAAGAAAGCCCGCAAGGAGCAAAAGCGCTATGGCTTAATCTTCACTTGCCTTGCCTCTCGATCTGTTCACATTGAGATGCTTGAGGACTTATCCACAGATGCATTTATCAATGCCTTAAGATGCTTCATCAGTCTCAGAGGAGCCGTTCGTCAACTCCATTGCGATCATGGAACTAATTTTGTGGGAGCTAAAAATGAATTCAAAGAAGCACTGAAGCAATGTGACACCAAAACTATTGAGAGCTTCCTCGCAGAAAGGCAATGTGAGTTCATCTTCAATGCTCCCTCAGCAAGTCACGCTGGCGGCGTCTGGGAGCGCCAGATTCGGACTGTCCGTAATGTCCTAAATGTCACACTCTGTCAATACTCAGGCAGACTCGACGACTCTTCCCTTCGAACTCTGTTTTATGAAGCAATGGCCATTGTGAACAGCCGTCCATTAACCGTAAACGGGGTAAATGATCCTACCTCGCTCGAGCCATTAACTCCAAACCATCTCATACTGATGAAGTCCAAGATTGCCCTTCCACCACCTGGCAAATTTGAGAAGGAGGATGTCTATGCAGCTAAAAGGTGGCGAAGAGTCCAGTACCTCGTCGAACAGTTCTGGAGCCGGTGGAAAAGAGAATATCTCATGAACATCTCCACACGCCAAAAGTGGCATACGACTCGACGCAACCTTAAGGTAGATGACTTAGTCATTATAAAGGAAGATACCCCTAGAAATCAGTGGCACCTGGGACGAGTGGTTGAAGCCACAAAGGAGAATGATGGACTAGTGCGTCGTGTCAAGGTGTTAGTAGGAGAAAGGACGTCAGTGAAACAAGATCGCCCTACCAAACCTTTGATTATAGAAAGGCCCATTCAGAAACTAGTTCTCCTCCTCGAGAGTGATTGATCAGTCTTACTGTCTACACCTTTATCCCCTTATGACATAGGTTACTCTCAGTTATTAAGTAGTACTCACCTGCACATATCTAGAAACACTGATACAGACTTAGTACTCAAGTATGAGCCGTTTCAGCCAGGTTGATCCTTGTCTTCACTCTTCATAACATGAGTGGTGGGAGTGTAGTTGACCACTAGCAGTGTTTTATTATGATTATCCAGTTTTTTATATTTTTATTTTATGTGACTTTTATTTTGACATGCTATCTGCAGGGGGGACTATTTTTTCTCTGTGTTCATCCGCTCACGCGCTCACTCATGAAGGGGGTAAAACGCGGGAAGGCACGATATGAGACAATGCTGAGGTCGGAAAATATTACTGTAACCTTAAACTAAAATGTTAAGTGTTATTCATCTGTACTTATTTGTTTGGCAGTAAAGGTAATTCACGAAATTTGTCCAAGTTAAGTTAATGGTGGCAGAAACCCCCTGGATCTCTACTTTTAGCACCCTTTGATATGCGGAGCGAGGTATGTGGTTCATTGTAATGTACTTTTTCATACTAATTAATTTCCTATGTTCATGTAAATGGAAATGAGATTCATTTTGTGATGGCTGTTGCCTGCTATGCTGTTGTCAATCTGATGCTAGCTTTCTAGCATTTGTGCATTTGTCAAAGGATCATTTTGCATCTAGCTAAACTGTCTTTGTTATTTTCCTTTTAAGTTTTCACGGTGTTGATGCTATGCACAGTCATCGGAATAAAGGTACACCCGTATGGAAACACTCCCAAGCCTGTTTATTCCAAGTTGAAGGGTTGCTACATCCTCCGTTTTCTCGGAACTAATGTTTTGGTAGAAACGAAAGTTTACATCGCATGTTTCTCCGGAATCAGCCGGCGCGAAGGACGTCTATATTCCGATTGGTTGCCGCTGAACCGCGTCATAGCTCATTACCATAAAGTTGAGCTTCTTTCAACTTTCTGATTGACGCTCAAAACGCCCAAAACGCGACGCCGATGGATTTGACGCTCCTTGCAGCGGAGAGAAGCCAGCTTCCATTGAAAATGAATGACTTCCGGCCGCGTTGGAAGCTCAAGTCGGCGGCGGTGTGAACGTAGGCTACAGTTAGAAACGCTTTGAACACATCAGTGGACAAAGGCATATATAACTCATCATAACATCATAATATATCATATTCATAATTCACCCACTATATTGCTAAACGTACCAGATTTTTCATATCAACAGAAAAATATACCGGGATATCCTGGCTTCTCTTCAGACTCCCCTGCTTCGCAGAATAGTATTTTTGAGACTGTCTTTGGTTCACTGCAGTTTTAAGGAGAAAATACTCAGCAATGCTGTTGACTTATGAACTTACACATGGTTTGTCTTAAAGCACATTAAAAACACCACAAGGAACCAAAATGACAAACTAGAGCCGTGAAAAGTGTCCGTTCTAATTTAGACTTTAATCTTTAGCTAAAAAATGGCTAGTAGTTTTACATGTTGGCAAATCAATAAAATTAATGATGTAAAGTAGACATGACACAACTGTCATGGATGGGAGATCCAGAAAGAGCACATTTGAATTTGCTGCAGTACTAATATGACATTAAGAAAATGTCTTTAAGATGTTAAAGATTTAAAATGGTTGCCTGGAGGCCGTGAACAGACTTCCCTTGTAAGGGATTTTGGATAAACTCACTGAAATACTTCCATTGTGGATGACGAAGACAGATCCTCAGCGAATGCGCGTATCCATGGCAAATATGTCTTTCTGTTTCGCCGTTTCTTAAAGCAGTGCTTCTGTCGGGCAGTTATACAGCTATTGTTGTGTATCTGAGTTTTAAAGCAGGATTTTTACAGACCACTTGATTCAAATGTGCATGAATGGATACACATAGATGTGTACTTTTGTGGCAGGAGTGTTCAATAAAATAATGAAGATGATTATGGCTGTCTTTTTTTGTCAATAAGTTTGTTTAATTTCTATAGGTTTTGCAACATAAAAGCTCTTAATTCCACAGATACTACAAACTGTAGGTGTATTCAGGTTGCAATGTATATGTAATGAATGAGTGATTATAATCAAGGTATTAATCAATATTTTTCCTTCTAAATATCAAATGAGTTGAATGACTTCTCTAGACTTGTGAGATTTTACTTTGTTATAGAAGTTACCAGTGTGATTACTGAAATGTTCTTCTCATGTATTCTCTAATGTCTGTATTTGATATCTGAATGCAGTAACAGTGCTCGCTCATTTAGCTCGGCTTCCAGAAATGAAATAGGGACTTGTTTTGTTCTTCAACGTGTTAAAACATATAGGGGTCATTGAAGACAATAGTTTAAGGCACCATTTCTTTGTGAAAGCCTTACTTTCCAGTTAGACTGAAGTGTAGTTCTCCTTGAGAGAAAGAACGTGTTATCTTGATGTTTTGAGACGACTCTCCTGTTTATAGTCAGAGCCTGGCCAAATCCAACCTTGGAAAAGCTGTGTGTCGGTGTGTGTGTTAGTCTTTTTGGTTGCAGGTTAAGGAACCACTGGCATTATTGGAGATTGACTGAGTTGTTGTTCTGGACCAGCAACCCAAATCTGCGAGCTGGAAGATCACGACGAGCCTAACTTCAGGGTCCGAGTGTCCCCTGCATAATCGATGGAGATATGATCAGTCAATATGTGAGGAAAATTACTATGTATATCTATTTCTTAGCCAATGAGAAACATTCAACCTGTAAGCAATGACGTAGCTTAGACCTTGGAAATGGTATAACTGCTGTGTGTGTGTGTGTGTGTGTGTGTGTGTGTGTGTGTGTGTGTGTGTGTGTGTGTGTGTGTGTGTGTGTGTGTGTGTGTGTGTGTGTGTGGTGAAGGGTATAACTGCTGCGTGTGTGTGTGTGTGTGTGGTGAAGGGTATAACTGCTGTGATCTTTGTAACTGTAAGCGGGGCGTCCTACGAACTCCTGTGAGAGTCTTGAAGCTGAACTTCTGCTGATGAAACTGCAAACTATCTTCAGTAAATCTTTTTTCTTTAATTTATTATAATTCTGACTCCGGGGCTTCATTCAACATCTGGTTCTGGGTCTTTAAATGTTTACCCCTAACACAACAATAATAAAACAATACATTGACTTTTCTTTTGTTACTTAAGTACTTTTAAAAATGAGTACTTCTGTACTTTTACTTAAGTAAAAATCGGTCTTTTTACTTGTAACAGTAATATTTGACCAGTAGTATCTGTCCTTTCACTCAAGTAGGGAAGTTGTGCTTTGTCCACCTCTGTGTTTAGCTAAAGTGTTTCTGCAGAATAATATTCTTTGGAAAGAGGAACGGAAAGTGCTGTGTTATTATACTGTCATTGCAGGAGCTGTTTTGAACGGGACTATTAATAAGGGAGCTGTTTTGAATGTGTTTGGATTCTCTAGGAAGCAAGTAGCTGCAGTTATGATGGTCTTTAAGAGAACTGATAGTTCTGAAGAAATCCTGAAAATGGACATGGAATATGAACAGAAGACGACATTTAGCAAAGGTTTGCTATGATACTAAATTGTATTTGATACAGAAAGATATGTTTGTGTTTTATTATTAATTTCTGATTATTATTAATGTTTTTTTTTAAGTCAGGATTCTTTGATGAATAGAAAGTTCAAAGTAGATTTATCCGAAATAAAAAAAGCTTTTGCAACATTATAAATGTCTTTACTGTCACTTCTCATTACTTTAATGCGTCCTTGCTGAATAAAAGTAGGCTATTACTTTCTATAAAATGTAGTGTATAATGTTACAAAAGCTTTCTATTTCTGATAAATGCTATTATTCTGAACTATTTTTTTTCACAGGGTTTGTGTGTAATGTGACTTTTTTGTGTGACCTTAAAATTCGTTTTAGAATTAAATTGTACATAAATAGGTTAAGCAAAACAAATGTGTTTATGTCGGAGAACCTTTTAAACACATACGAACCTGAAATGACATATACTGTGTGATACAGTACAAATATTTTGAGTGTCCCTTATTTTCCCGTAAAGAACCACGATTGTCCCGCATTTTTCTTTTCTGAAGTTGGCAACCCTAGATAAAAACATATCAGCTACATAAATTCATCAGCTAACCCTTCAGAAATGTCCTGTTGCTTCTACATGTTGTCACTTCTGCTTGGGTCTCTCCATCTTTGTCTGACTCTGGTTTGAGCATAAAAGGCTAAAAGTTTTTGAAATGTTCAAGTGTGTGTCAGTGTGAGGTAATCGGAGCTGCTAACACATGAGCTCATTTGCATTTAAAGGGACACACACAAAAATGGACTCACCCTCAAAAAGTGGTAAATTTTAACGTGCTATAAAAAAAATCTGTGGGGTATTTTGAGCTAAAACTTCACATACACACTCTGGGGACATCAAAGATTTATTTTACGTCTTGTGAAAATGGCATTATACCACCCCTTTAAGCCTTGTCTGTGAAAGTGGAGGATAATGTGTTATTTTTTAAGGTAATGATTAATTGTAAAACTACTAATTCAATTTTAAGCTTTGGAGTTCATCCTACAACAACCGAATGGATGCAGGCGTGAAGTGTTTCGTAAATACCTGATATTTCCTGATCATGTTGCACATCACATTCACATTTATGCATTTGGCAGATGCTTTTATCCACATTGCATTCAAGAGAGACATTGATGTTGCTAGGGCTGTGCGCTACTGTTCGAGCTACAGGAAGGCTGTATTGCTTTAAAGAAATAAAAGAAAGTAAAATATTTCTTATGGTGTGTTTGTTTTCTGCAGGTCGTCCTTGTAGCAGAAAAACTGGCATCTTTGTGCTTCTAGGAACAGTCTGCATGATTATTTTCCTCATCATGACTTCTGTCATCTGTGAGTGGTTAACATCATACTTTGAAAGTGTTGCGTTGTAAAATATTTGCATTTTAAAAAGCGAGTAATGCAAAATATGCATGCATGTAATTATGCTGATTACAAAAAAAAAATTGTTCACAGTTTTTCATCAACAAAGAACATTCTCAGTGCTGGAGAGTTGGATGAACATTCATAGTTCGAATCAAACTTCAGTCAAACCTCAAGAAAAGAATATTGAGACCTTGATGACCAATCTTGCCTCTTCATTGAGTTCAATCACATCCAAACAAGAGGAAAACCAACAAAAGCTGGGTGAGATTTAAATTTTTTATTATGTACTGTACATTTAAATACTCCGAAACCAACACACGTGTCAGGATTATGTTGTGTTTTGTGTTAGTTTCATTCCTGTGTTTGTTTCATGTGATTCAGTTCAGTTTAGTCTTAAGGTCCTTGCACACTGATTTCGAAAATCTCCTCCGAAACTTTCGTCCGTCATAAAATATTTAGATCTTGTTTGATTTTTGTTTTTCGCATCCGTAGCAAGCAATTTGAGAGGTGTTTTGACAATTCAGAGCCACCGAATTAAGAATATGCAAAAAAGGCATATGAAAATTTCGGACTCAGGACCTTAGGGTAGGCCTACGTTTACACGACAACAATATAATTAAAAAAGGAGAAGCCCTTTGAGTTTTCTGAGACGACACCATTGTCGAAACGATCCCCATTCACAGTGATCCGTGAAAATGACTAAAAACGCTGTATTCTGCTGCCAGGCCATTAGATGGTCATCATTTTCAGTTTAACGTTTTTGTTGTTTACACGGAAACCATTTTCAAAAACTTCCACTTTGATCCCAATTTTCAAAAGTTTGCGTTATCAGGCACCCAAAATGCCGTTGTCATTTTAACGAAACGCATCCAAAACGCCAAAACGCATCAAAAGTTTTTAGTTTTTAGTTCAAAACGGTGTCATGTAAACAGCCCCTCAATTATATCCCAGTTCGTCTCCTTGGTTACTGATTATGTTCAGCTGTCTGTCATTAACTTTCCTTGTGTATTATACTATGTATTTATACTCCCTGTCTCATTCAGTTCATTGTCGGTTCTCGTCTGTAGTGTGAGTAGTTTATGTGATCATTCTCTGTGTCATCTATTATCATCATCATCATGTTTATTAATGAAAGTTTGCATTGATCTTCATTCTGTGAACTACGTCATCTGTTGCTGACAACATGAATATGATCATCTAAATATAGAGATTATTCTTTTACTACCAGGACACAACTGTGTATTTCTGACTGTAATAGCAGGACTATTTTTACTTATTTTTCACAGAGCGCCAGCAGGGTCTGTCACACACTGAAGTGAAGAGTTTGATGAACAGTTTGAGTTCTGCTGTATCAGCGCTGACATCCAAACTGAATGACGCAGGTCTGAAAATCTGATCATTTAATCAAATACTTTTAAGAGCAAACTTTCATATTCTTGATCGTTTATCAATCATATATATATATATATATATATATTCCTTCACAGTTGGGAACCAGGTGCAGAAACAGAATGAAACACAAAAAATATTAGACTATTTGAAATCAGCTGTTACTTCTCTACAGTCTGATCTACAAAACAAGCAAAGTGACTTTGGTAAGACAGAGGCAAAATTTATATGAATTTTAAATTTAATAAAGTTATTTCATGAATTAATAAGACCTTATAGTGAACATGTAATTGTCTTGTTATGCTCTCTTTTAAAATATCTCATATAACATAACTGTATCTGGTTATGATACTTTGGGCCACATTCAAATCTCAGCATGTTTTCTTACTGGAGACATTAACCCTGAATATATTTAAAAGAATTTCAATTGCAAGGAATAATATAGGGGAAAATATGAATATTTAAAGTTCGATGAAGTGCATAAAGTACAAAGAGAAGTTCGCATGAACTATCAATGAACAATACGTCTAAAGCATTTATTAATCTTAGTTAATATTAATCATTGTTAACATTGGTTAACTAATGTTAACATTAGTTAATTCACTGTGAACTAACATGAATATTAATATTTTTATTAAGAAACATTAAAGGTGAAGTAAGCGATTTCTGAGAAACACTGCTAAAAGTAGATCATACAGAGCACCACAACACACTTGTAGGGGGCGTGTCCACTCATAATGGAGTAGGAGAGAGAGTTAGCCAATCAGCAGTAGGGGGTGTGTCCACTCATAATGGAGTAGGAGAGAGAGTTAGCCAATCAGCAGTAGTGGGCGTGTCCACTCATAATGGAGTAGGAGAGAGTGAGCAAATCAGCAGTAGTGGGCGTGTCCACTCATAATGGGGTAGGAGAGAGTTAGCCAATCAGCAGTAGTGGGCGTGTCCACTCATAATGGGGTAGGAGAGAGTTAGCCAATCAGCAGTAGTGGGCGTGTCCACTCATAATGGGGTAGGAGAGAGAGTTAGCCAATCAGCAGTAGGGGCGTGTCCACTCATAATGGGGTAGGAGAGAGCGAGCCAATCAGCAGTAGCGGGCGTGTCCACTCATAATTGGGGAGGAGAGAGAGTTAGCCAATCAGCAGGAGGGGGCGTGTCCACTCATAATGGGGGAGGAGAGAGAGTGAGCCAATCAGCAGGAGGGGGTGTGTCCACACATAATGGGGAGGAGAGAGTGAGCCAATCAGCAATAGGGGGCGTGTCCACAAATAATGGGGAAGGAGAGAGAGTGAGTCAATTAGCAGTAGGGGGTGTGTCCACTCATAATGGGGGAGGAGAGAGACAATCAGCAATAGGGGGCGTGTCCACTCATAATGGGGGAGGAGAAAGAGAGGGAGCCAATCAGCAGTAGGGGGCGTGTTCAGTCATGATGGAGGAGGAGAGAGAGAGAGAGCAAGAGGTGGATTTGAAGAAAGACTGTAGACAGAGAGATAGCTGAGAGACATTAAAATAGAGAAAAACTGGAATATCACTGGAAAAAGAAGGGTTATGATCAGGCAAGAGCTTTAGGTCCTGCGTTAATATTAGAGACGTTAGAGAGCAGGAAGGCCTGAAAATGGATGGCGAGGCTGCGTTGTTTCTGCTCCATCTGCAATAATGCTTCGCTTCAGCTATGATAAAGAGACATTCACTCTTGCAGTGCGTGCTGCTCGTGCATTTTGGGGGCGGAGCAATGAATGGAAGGGTGTGTTTGTTTGGGTTGATTTCAAATATCAACAGTTTCTGCTATGGAAGCTTGTTTCCGCCACAGAATAAAACATTTTAAAGATAATTGCGACTTTTTATCTCACAATTCTGACCTTATAACATGTAGCTGTGAGATATAAACTCACAATTGCGAGAAATAAAATCGCAATTATCTTTTAAAATGTTTTATTCTGTGGCAGAAACAAGCTTCCATAAGTTATTGTCTAAGACAAAACTGATATGAGCAGATGTTGATTATGTATTTTTATACTTTCTCATTCACCAAGCCATTATTGCTATGCAGTGATCTTGCTGATCCAGTATATTGTATTTATGGCTTTTGTCTCATGTTTAAGAGTCACTGTCGAGCTCAATGAGTGTCCTGAAGAGTTCAGTGTCAGATCTCATTTCATCTGTCGCATCGCTTTCTTCTCAACTATCAGTCAGTGAGTAGACACTACATTACATGTGCAATACGGCACTCCATTACACTACAAACAGGGCGTGAATTATGGAGTGGGGTGTTTGAAACCCCCAAAGGACACCAAAACAAAAGTATTTAGCAGTAAGTCAGCAGGTTACCTGCTACTATTATTACATAAGTCTACTATATTCAACATCTAAATGCAACATCTACTTCTTTCCCACAGTGCGGCAGCAGGATATGAAGAGCTTGACTGACAGTTTGAATTCTGCAGTATCAACGTTGACATCCAAACTGAATGATGCAGGTGTTGAAATCATTTAATAATCTTAAATATGCATCTGTGTATTGAGGAAGATAATTATATTAACTGCAACTTTTTTCTCCCAGTTAAAACGCAGGACCAGAAACAGACTGAAACCGAACGATCGCTGGACAGTTTGAAGTCCTCCATACAGTCTGATCAACAGAGCAAACAGCGGGACTTCGGTGAGTCAGAAACATTAAAAAAAAAGTTTGTATGAAGTTATAGGCTTGCATAATATAATTCAAGCCTGTCTCAATATAAACATCACTGAAGCGACATAGTAATCTTGCTAATATATCATATTTATGTCTTTCATCTCGTGCTAAAGAGTCTCTGTCGAGCTCATTGAGTGTCCTGAAGAGTTCAGTGTCAGATCTCACTTCATCTGTCGCATCTCTGTCCTCTAAACAACAGATCTCTGGTGAGTCGAGTACAATATTGCAATAACTGCATTATGGATGTATAACTGAATCTATTGAATTGATCTCTTTTGTTAGGCATGATTTCAGAAATAATCATAATTGTTGATTTCATGGACCTGCATGCTGATACTGACATTATTCTTTACATTGGAAATAATTGGATTGAAATGAAATTCACAGGACACTGACTGCAGAAAGTCTAACAAGGTCTGGTGTGTTTTCTTGTGTTCTAGAGGACAGAGTCATGAACGCTCTGAAGGAGCTGAAATCTAACATGAGAAACAGAACAGCAGGTACTGCATCCACACTCTTAATGCCCCCTTTCACAAGATGAAATATAAATCTATGGTGTCCCCAGAATGTGTCTGTGAATTTAAGCTCAAAATACGCCCAGATCATTTATTATAGCTTGTCAAATATGCACCTTTGTAGTAGTGAGCAAAAACACCCTCCCTTTAAATGCAATTGAGCTGCTACTCCCCGCCTCCGTTCAGAAGAGGCCGATCCTTTACACGAGCTTTGGATACTCCGGAAATAACAAAACACGCAAATCTCACTCATCCAAAATCTCAGAAATAACTCAGAAGTGCAGCCTTACGGAGAGACTCAGGAAGAGGTTGCAACTTTTAGACGCACATGGACGTTTCTGAATGGTTACGAGTGGATACATGTACTGTAGTTGTTGTGGAGTTACATTGATTCATCTCATCATCATGTTTAACTTTTACACAAGTTAACACAGTTCCCTGAGGTCTTTTTAAGACAGCTGTGACATTTTTTTGGTCAAATAGTGTTCAGTGCTCATCTGTGCAACGACAGAACAGTTTTCATGCTTTGCTTGAACTTTTGCCATTGCGTTAGAACTGGTTACACGGTTGTCGCTTGTGAAACTAATGCGTGAATGTGTTGGAGATAAATATTTTGTTAATAAAGCGGTAAACAGTTTTTGAGCAAACAAAGCACTCGTGTCGCGTCATCAAATTGAGGTTAAAAATATTTCTTTATATTTGAAAGCCGATAACCGATACATTGGCAGATAAATCTAAATCCAAATTTTTTTACACATTTTGAGAGCCTGAACACAAAAAAGTCTCACCATTAAAATCCATGTCCCAAGCGCACAATTATAAGGATGTTCCCATTGTAATTTTATATAGCCTATATCACAGACTTGTTGCATTTAACTGTATTTTCCTTTTTTGAAGGGATTTCAATCATATTTCAAGCAATTCAAACCCATTATGTTAAACAGTGAACAGCTGAAGGAAAAAATCCATTATTTATCGTCTTTCATCGTCTGCACCAGTCTGTCTTCGTGTCTGCACTACACTACCCAGAATCCTCCTTGTCTCCACACCTGAACTTACTCCCTCACTTACCAGCCTGTTCATCGTTATCTTCATCAGTGTCACCTGTCTTCACCTTGTTATGTTTGATTCATGCTTGTATTTAGTTTGCTTCTGTTCAGCCTGTCCTTGTCGGTTATTGTCTTTGTTACCTGAATGTATTCCCTGCCTGCATCTGTTTATTGTTTTGTTTAGAAGTAAAAGTGATTGTTTCTGGAAATCCCCGTCTCCTCGTGTTTCCTGCCATACACAACCCGTAACAGAATAACCGACCAAAAAGAAAAGAAAAAAAGAGGAAGATGGAGATCTGGGAGCTCGCGGGACAGATCACGGCTTTGGCGCTGGATAGCCGTGATCTGTTCCACTTTACTTGGGGCTTTGTTCCACTCGCTGCCTCCTGCTCGCTGGGCGATGAGATGATCAAGGCGTGTTACCGGCGGGGGGCCAAGGTGGTCGACCCAAGGGAGCTTCCAGATCTCTCTAGTCTGGACTGGAGAGAGGCACTCTCCAGATGTCTGGAGAGCTTTCTCCCATGGCACTCCATGTCTTCACCGCTGGTTCCGTCCAGCCCAGCCGATCCCGCACCGCTGGTTCTGTCCAGCCCAGCCGAGCCTCCACCGCAGTTTCTCGTCAGCCACGTCCAGCCAGAGCTTCACGTCATGCCTGCCGAGCCAGAGCTTCATGTCACGCCTGCCGAGCCAGAGCTTCACGTCACGCCTGCCGAGCCAGAGCTTCACGTCACGCCTGCCGAGCCAGAGCTTCACGTCACGCCTGCCGAGCCAGAGCTTCACGTCACGCCTGCCGAGCCAGAGCTTCACGTCACGCCTGCCGAGCCAGAGCTTCACGTCAGCCCTACAGAGCCTTCTCTGCTGGTCCCATCCAGTCCTTCCAAGCCTGTCCTGGAGCACGTCCCTGAGCCTGGCAATCCCCCCAAGAAAATTTTGGGGGGGGGGGGATATAGGCCACCTGAAGGTGCGTCTCCGCCATGGCCGCCCGAAGGTGCGTCTCCGCCATGGCCGCCCGAAGGTGCGTCTCCGCCATGGCCGCCCGAAGGTGCGTCTCCGCCATGGCCGCCCGAAGGTGCGTCTCCGCCATGGCCGCCCGAAGGTGCGTCTCCGCCATGGCCGCCCGAAGGTGCGTCTCTGCCATGGCCGCCCGAAGGTGCGTCTCCACCATGGCCGCCCGAAGGTGCGTCTCCGCCATGGCCGCCCGAAGGGGATTCTCCGCCATGGCCGCCCGAAGGGGATTCTCCGCCCTGGCCAGGCCCACATCCTGCTCCGCCCTGGTCACGCCCACAGCCTGCTCCGCCCTGGATGCCCGAGGGTCCAACAGCTCCGCCCTGGATGCCCGGGGGTTCGTCTGCTCCGCCGTGGTCACGGCCACGTCCTGCTCCACCCTGGACGCCCCCTCGTCCTGCACCGCCATTGCCGCCTGGACCATCCTGGAGTCCGACCTGCTGCACCCGGTCCGCCTTCCCGTCACGGACTCCAGGATGCCCACCGGGAGGGGGGCGTAATGTCACATTCATCGTCTGCACCAGTCTGTCTTCGTGTCTGCACTACACTACCCAGAATCCTCCTTGTCTCCACACCTGAACTTACTCCCTCACTTGCCAGCCTGTTCATCGTTATCTTCATCAGTGTCACCTGTCTTCACCTTGTTATGTTTGATTCATGCTTGTATTTAGTTTGCTTCTGTTCAGCCTGTCCTTGTCGGTTATTGTCTATGTTACCTGAGTGTATTCCCTGCCTGCATCTGTTTATTGTTTTGTTTAGAAGTAAAAGTGATTGTTTCTGGAAATCCTCGTCTCCTCGTGTTTCCTGCCATACACAACCCGTATCATTAATATATCGGCCAATTTTTCTTATCGGGGCGATAACGATAGCATTATAAATTATCATATATTGGCCGATACCGATATGGTGGCCGATATATCGTGCATCCCTAATTAATTTAATGATGTCTTTACTACCTTTCTGGGCCTTGAAAGTTGTAGTTGCATAGACTGTCAATGGAGGAACAGAAAGTTTCAGATTTCATTAAAAAGATCTTCATTTGTGTTCCGAAGATGAACGAAAGTCTTTAGGGTTTGGAATGACATGTGTGTGATTTATTTTCTTTTTTTTTAATGACTGGACTTTCAGGTGAACTGACCCTTTAAATTTGCTCTTATTTTGCATGTTTTCTCTCTCTCTCACGCAGACATCCCTGTAACCTGTAAATCTGGCTGGATATTGTACAAAAGCAGCTGTTTCTTGTTCTCCAGTTATGAACTCAGCTGGACTGAGGCACGAGATTACTGCAAAGCACAGGGCGCGTTACTCCTCAAAATAGAAGAGGACGACGAGGAGTGGGTGTGTAACGTTCATGCGCATAACATAGCATTTTGATTTTACTTTCTTTTTTTTTTTTTATTAGTTTCTATCTTCCCCTAGGCATTTCTAAACAAACATACCACACCCATCTACTACTGGGTCGGTCTAACGGATCAGAACACAGGCCAGTGGAGATGGGCGGATGACACTCCTTACACTATGAACAAAGAGTGAGCCGATTCATGCATTATTCACTTTGATTCACAAATACATTCCTTAGCAAATAGCATGCATTAAAATGTACATTTGAATCATACAGTCAAACACAAATTTATTCAGACACCTTCAACATTTCTCATTGTCACAGTTTATTCGCTATAGTTTAGAAAATGGTAATAAAATATGACAAGAACTCAGAGTTATCAGATCAGTTGATATTTCACTGGTTTTGTCCGTCCTTCTGTTAGACTCTCACAAATGAATTATGTTGAATATCTGTCAGCTGTTAAATTTAACTACACAATTAGATAATACCAATTTAGCTCAACCAATTACCAAGCAATGCTTCATGTTGTTCAGTCTGTGGTGCAAAAAGGTGCATTAGTTATTAAAGAAAAAACACTGTGTGTCTGAATCATTTTTGGTCCCAAATTTTTTATAAATTTTACTGGTAGCCAACTGTATGAATAATTTTTGGGTATAATATGTCACCGTTTACTTTATTTTGATATCCTTACTTGCATAAATGGACTATTCGCAGACCTGCCAACCTGTACGCATTTTGACCTCAAAGTACGCTGTACGGCTGCGATTTGTCACTCTAAACTACGCAAAAACCTGGTGATGCGCCTCTCTGTTCACGCGCAGTCCTCAAATCAAGCAAAAAAAGGAGGGGTTGGACCAATCATAGCGCTGGGTTCATTCCCCAAATAGCAAGCGGGGATGATTGACAGATACATAAGGCCCAGGGGCGTAATTTGTGGGGGGGATGGGGGGGATATAACCCCCCCAATATTTAAATCTATGCATTACAACCCCCCCATTATTTATACCATGATCACAATATCAGGAGGCACACCCAAACTTCAACCCCCCCAATGTTCAAACCAAATCTACGCCCTTGATAAGGCCTATAGTTAAAATTGAATGAAAATCGTCAGCATTAAAGAATCCCGCTCGATCCCCCTTCCGCCGTCTGACTGATTTTATAAGCGAGGACAGTAGGCTAGTCTACTTTCTAAGGTAAACGGGCTGGGTGGATGTGGAAAGTTGAAATATTGTATTGAGTTAACTTAATCCTCTGGATTCGATTATCACACGGAAGTGATCGCATGGATT